TCTCTGTCACTTCCCGTCCACGTGTGGTCCAGGTCTTCATCCCTGGGATCTGATCATAAACCCTTCAGATTCTAGCAGTTCAGCAGCGGCCCACGTGGGCCACAGGGGGATCAGTGTGGTGGCATTTTAAACAAAGGGCGTCTCACCGCTGGAACTTTTCAGGACTCTGAGTTCTTTTTCTTCTTCAGGACTGAATAAAGAGTCTGTCCTCAGTACATGGGTTCACTGCTCAAGGGTCGTGGCAGAACGTCGTACCAACACGAGTCACTGAAAATAGTTTAACACCAGTTCATCTGCATAAAACCTCAATCCTGCACGTCATTATCGGCATCACCTTATCGTGACTACGTGTCCGTTCCAACGTAACTCGATGTTCGGCGTTAGTCGGAAATCGCACACTGTACGTAACGTTAGAAATTTTCTAAAATGAAGACCATTATATTTGGTCATAATTTGGGAGAAAGGGGAGAATATTTTCGACACTTCCTTCTTCGTTCTTCTTCCTCAGTTTTTCTCAGAGACTCATTATCTGCTTGGTTACAAACACACCACTAAATATAATCCGGCTCAGGTCTTTAGCGGCTCCCTGCTGAGATGCCACCTGTGGAGTGGAGTGAAGATCTCAGTAGGATCTGAAGGATTTCTTTGTTTCTCCTTCTCATCACACCTCTGCACAGATTGGTTCTTCATTCCTTTAAATAAATGATTCCAGTCTGAGCTCCGGGCTCCCAAACGTCTATCACACATGCAGGTGTGATGTTGCACAGAATCTTGGCTGTGTGTAGTTTCTGGCACCATTTGCAACACATTTAATTTATCTTCTGTGTCACATCAGAGCCTGGTCAGGAAACTGAGCTGGCAACGTGACAACGAGAAAACAGTTGGTGAAGTTTGACTCTGTGAAGCTTCTACACTCATTAGATATTGATATATATATATATATATATATATATGTTTTAAACATCCCACCTCCTCCTCTGACATGAGCTGTGACTCCACCTCTGGAGACGGAGAGATGCCGTTGTCATCCTTCCACGTGTGCAGCTGTGGTTAGTTTCTTACTTAATCATTTAGGTTGTTTTGATCTGCACGTGTGAGAACAACGGGGGGCCTCCTCCAGGAGGGCCTCCGTGAATTGTTGATGTTTGAGCATCAGCAGTGAGTGGTTTGTTTTGTTCACCACAGAGACGTCGCCGCCCGCTCTCCTACGAGTGAGAGCGGTGAATACGCCTCACAGCTGCCGTCATTCTGGAACCGCTCCGTCTTCTTATCCATCACGGTCTTTGAGAAGATGAAGAAAAGCTGCGTCCTCCGACTGATTAGCATGGCAACGCCTTCATTTAAATATGAATGAGGGGAATTGATGATTGGAGGGGATGGGAGTTGAGTGATATCAAGACGACGCAGAAGACTGATCAGAGCGAGGAAATAATTTCCATTCACGCTGTTTATGTCGCATCACAACAAGATGGAGAAACAAAACAAACAAAAACTATACAAGATGGAGAAACAAAACAAACAAAAAATATAATGATAATATATACAAAATGATTCTTCTCCATTTGAGTCTAAGTCCTTCTGATGTGGTGTTTCCTTGACAATAATTCTATCTACCAAACTCTAAAGAAAAAATCCACACTTGAAATATATCTTCAACATTTGATAATGAAGTGAATGGAGGAGCTGTCCGTGGTACTAGATCATATCCTCAACATTACCCAACGTTATTTTATTATACTGTTACTATGTCCAGTTTCTCTGACCTCACCTTCAGCACAAACAAACCTTCAGCTTCACACACTTTAATGAACCACAGTTACAATTTAAAGGATTATTTTTTTCATCTCTTTGATCTTTTATTTCCAATTCACCTCCACATTCTCCACAGTGATGAGTATTTAAAATATGCAAAGCCCTCGTGCTTTGAACCGACTGAGTGAAAAGCTTTAAAACCTCCTCTGACCTTAAACCATGTGAAAAGTAATATTAAATGCCTTGAATGGCCCCAAGGTTTTCCATGACCCACTGTCACCGATTTACTATAATCAATAAAATCAAATAGAGGGCAGGAAAAAAAAAAGACTTTCAACAGGAACCGTACTCTGGAGAGTCACTAAGTCAAACAGCAGCCTTGATCTGCAGAATATAAAGCTCCAAGTCTTAACGGGTTTTGTTACAAAACTGTAATAAAACAAAACAAGTGACAAAAAGAAGAAACACGAAACATGGGGAGAGTAAAAGAGGAAACAAAACATGGGAGAATATGGTGAAGAAAGGGAATGAAGTGAGTTCCAGGGAAAAGGTGGGAGGCAGGGAGAGAACGGAAGGGAGAACAAATTAGTGCAAGGAAGGATTGATGAAAAATTGGAGCCAGAAAGAGGATAAAAAATAAGGGCAGAGAGTCAAGGAAGTAGGGGTGTGGCAAGAATCTGGCGATACGCATCGCAATACGGGGCAACAATACGATATATTGTGATACTATAGGCTAATCGCAATATGTATCAAGATTTTCTTACATCCCAAAAAGGAAGGAGAAAAAAAAAGCGAAAGAAGAAAATCTGTTTATTGTAGCATCCGTCCTTGTTGAAGATGTTTGGGGAGAAGGCGACGGTGAAACATCACTTCATTCGGAGTCATATTTTTCACTGATATTCCACTCGGCTTTTCTGACATGTGATAAAAACCTCCTGGGAGCAGTTCCTTCATCACCTCCTCACAGACACCCGCAGACATTAGTCCTGCCTTATCTGAGAAACATACGGCCGCAGCTCTGATGGATCCGGGCTTTATATGGAACAAATCTTCATTCACCAAGAGACGCCTTTATTTATTCAGCAAAACCTCAAGGTCTTTAAAATGTACTCTTTCATTAAAATGCCTGCAGTTTGGCACAGTTTGAAAGATGGCACCGGCGTTTAATTAAACATTCCTCTTCGGAAACTTGAAAGTGTCGTTTACGTTTATTTGCAAACAGGAATCTAATTGTCTGGAGATTAGTCTTTCTTGTTTTTTTCCTGTCAGACGTGAAAAATCCCCGCCGTTTAAAATGTCTCCGCACAATGAATCAATGCAAACAAAAAGTGAGGCAGCGGCGTGGGTTTCATGTCATTAGTCGGTGGCAGTGACACAGCAGGGGGCGTACTCAGGTCACAGAATCCATCTGAGGTCATCTCCACTATCTCCATAGTTGGACAAATTCCTTAATTACAGTGGTGAGACACACAGTTAAATCACTCAGTGGGAGCAGAAGAATCTCTGACCCAGAAAACAGCCATCGTTGGAGCAGAAATACGGAGGAGATGTGGGTGTGAGACAGTCACCCACCTCCTGTGTTTCAGTCGTTATAAAAACAACTTGAAGAACCATTAGAGACAGAGGAGTCAGATCTGAGTGGACCTGACTGAACACAGACCCCCTTAAAATTCAACGCATCGTTCTCTTTCACGCCATCCTCATTACAGCAGAGAACCAAAAAGTGCTTTTGTGAAATGAGATGAGTTTCATTAGTGGCCTCAGACGTGACCTCCCGCCGCACACGGAGCTCAGTGGCACAAAGTTATTACTTCATCAAACGACAGCCGTCTGAGGTCGGTATTAAAAAAGTACCTGCAAATTAGCTGATAAATGTGAGCGGATTCTGTCGATTCTGTCAAGGACCGGCCAGATGTCACGGACGCGGACGCCTGTGGAACAGGAAGTGAGATGGAAAATGAAATTAAGGGTAGAAAGAGGTCAATGTAAAGACTGAAAACTGATGAAGACCAAGACACGACATTTTCGCGGCTGAGAGAAAAGTGGAGAACGAGAATAAAGGATCAGAACAGAATAGTCATGCAGCAGCAGTGAGGGCCTGGACGGCCTTGACACGGTACACCGCTGCCTGTTACGCAGCGTCACACGGTGCTGACCGTCACTGAAGCTCAGGACTCATCAGTTCTTCAGCGTCTTCTGCGGCAAATTAGTACGGACTTCCATAATCCGGACTGGAGTTCTTCAGCAGCGTCAGGAAAAAAATGCAGACGAGCGTTTTCTCTTAAGTGGTCCCAGTGCAGAAAGACAAATCACGCTGGAGAATTAATGAACACACACCTACACACACACCCACACACACACACACACAGAGAGCCATTCATATTTCTCGTAAAGTGTGAAGGTAAACATGAAAGACCCCTGGGACACGTCTCCCCCGCGGGGTTGTGTGTTTTCAGAGATTGCGTTTCTTAAATAATCTGTTTATTCGTCTCCAGAGACGAACGAACGCCAGCGTCAACGCCACGTTTTACGTTATCAGGTTTTCATTATCGGAGGAAAAACCAGTAACGATTTTTACCCATGTTGCGCAATTATGCTACTATCAGCCGATGTTATCGGACATCCAGTCTTGTTATAGATCGCCAGCCTTAGAAGGATGAAGCTGTCATGTGACCTGTGATGGGATCAGGTTGAAGTTGTTTTAATATTCCGTGTTCACCTTCAGTCCAAACAAAGAAACAGAGAGGACACAGAGCTGACAGCAGGGGCAGTGACTGTGTCCATCCCCACCACACACACACACACACACACACACACACACACACACACACAGAGGCCTCAGCTCCGTCCTCTGCAGGTGAATCACACACTCCTTCAGTCAACCCTCCCACCTCAGCCGTCCCGGCCTCACGCTGCTCCGCAGATCAATACGTGGAGGAAGACGCAGACAAAGGTGGAGATTTTCTCACATATCCACTCGTATGGATCTCAACACTTTATTGAGCAATAAAAAATATACACCAAGGAAAATATCGTTTTCCTTTATGCCATATTATTTGTTGTTCATCCTTGTCAAATCTGATTTGATGCTCCCGGCAGACGGAGCTCCATCCACTGTGACAAACTGAACAGAAACAACACGGTAGTTCAGAGCAGTTTGAAAGAAGAATCTGTTTGTTTCAACCGTCAAGTGAAAAATTCCAAAACGGACTTCAAACAAATTTTGTTTGAGAAAACGAAATCCCAGACTAGGTTTTCACGTCAGACTCTGACTCTGCGTAGATTTCTGCCAGTTTCTGGAACTCGGGTCCACAGTCGTCCAGGTACTTATAATCCTGCTCTGATTGGACGGCGGGAGAGTCTAAGGGACTGATGGTTCCCGTGGGTGAACCCTGACCTTCGAACGCATAAGTCTGCAGAGAGTCGTAGGGCGGCACGCTGGTGTCCATGTCGGCCTCGTCCAGTCTCTGCTTGATGTACTCGTACACGTCCCCCTCGTCCACCTCCAGCGATGGACTCCTGCAGCTGCGGGGCAGCCCGTAGTGTTGTCGCATGTCCGGGCGAACGTCCCGGCGGAACTTGAGCTCCTCTGCGGCGGCAGGGTTACGTAAGGCGATGATGTCAAAGGCTTCGGTGTCCTCCTCTCCTCCGCCCTCGTCGTCGTAGGTGACCACGTTCTCTCTGACGTCCTCTTCGGAGATGATGAGGGGTTCTTTTTTACTCCGCCGCAGCGTGATGAAGAGAACCACGATGGCTGGAAGACAGAAGACACATTCAGTGTGAACATCTGGGAAAACAAGTGTGAGGGTTTGGATTTATCCGGTGATGTCGTCGACATCTGGGTCAGAGCAGAACTACAGCTCCATGTTGTTCCTGTCTTTTGACACGCACCGATGTTCCACTGGCATTTATCCAATTTTACATCACCGCACTAAAGCAAACCGAGCGTTGTGGCGTCGTTAATCAGCGCCGGCATTAGCGTAGAGGCTGCGGCGGCTCTTTGAGGGAACAAGCTGTTGAGATGATGACAGAGCGCTCATTATCATTAACCAGTGGAGGCTGGAGAACAGCTACATGTGAAGTAAACGCCGAGGTTTTTATTTTTTGCCACATTAAAGAAAACATGTTCGGGCGCTGCGGCAGAGTACGTGCTGATGAGTCGCTCGGAGGCCGAGGAATCTTCTGCCTACTGTTAATGAAGTCATGAGGCAGAGAGTAATATTTGATGAGTTCCTGCGGCCTGGAACTCTACTCCCACAGCTAATGAGAGGAATGCTTCTTTGGGTTAATGATGACCTCTCTGTGAGCTGTTAACACCAACACCCATTTAATAAAACGGTGTCAGCAACGGGAGTACACTTTTCTTTTCTTTTCTTTTTTTATTAAAGAGCAGCGTGATATCTACGAGAACTTCATTACGCCACATCAGCACAGAGGAACCGCGTTCCTGCAGAACTAATCGGTGCTCTGTGATGGTGCTGCACCAACAGGAAAACCCAAACAATGAAAACTTCTCATGCTATCACTTCAAACTGGACGTCAGTCAGACTCAAACTCCGGTTCACATAATGAAAACAAATGAAGCCAAAGAATCTGAAAGTTCAGCAGAGGGTTCCGTCTCCACCACACATTTCTTGTCAGTGTTTTGTTCAAATGACTCAGCGTAAAACAACAACACTGCTGTTGGACTGAGTGCAGACGTATTCTCTCACACACTGACTGTGTGGTGACTGTGGCAGCTGTAAGGAGCAGGATCCCAGTCTACAGTACACACAGATTAAAGTTCAGCGGCTCAGCTTGTTTGTTAAACCACTGGAGCCTCCACTCCTTCGTCTCACTTGGACAGGTGAGAATTATCCTGTTAGAAACACGGCAGTTTGAATCACCTCCAAGAGGAAAATGCCAAAGTCGAACACGACGTGTGCTGTTGTTAAACTAGAACCGTCATCTGATTCTGAACCACTGAGAATCTGGTTTTGTTGGGTTCTGACTGACATGAACAAAACAGTCCTCCAACAACACTTTAATTCTGCTGTGAGGAATCATCACCGTCACCAGCTGAGTCAAAAAGTCCTCAGACAGATGTTTTATCATTCCTGCAGGGGTCTGGAGTTCATGAACTGAAATCTGACCCTAACGACCCTGGGAGGCAAAAAATCTGAACGTTTTCCACTCTCGGCTGAAGAGATGAAACATCTGGAGACCAGGAAGGTCCAGTTGTCTCCTGCCAAACTGCTGTGACTAAAATGACCTGAAGACATGTTCAAAAATCAAACTAACTCTGAGCAAAAGCTTCAGTGTGTACACACCATGACGGGTTTTAACTCGTCTATTAATATAATTAATAAGAACAAGAACAAAGTCCTGATTAGCAGGAAAAGTAAGGTCAAACTTCAGAGTTTTTTTTGTCCAGTAATCGTAGCCGAACTCTCCACTGTGTTGGCGGACGTCGTATATTGTTGCATATTGACATTCAGTCCACACAGCACAGCACAACTGAACTGCTCTGTGGGCATTAAAACTCTCTGAATGGCCCATTCAGGTCATTTCATTCAGCGTGATCCGACGCTCACTCACGGCACTTATGGCTGCACTAACCATCACGCTGGACGTATTTATGTGCCATTCAGTGGAGATTACACTGTGGGACTGGACTCTCATTCTTAAATAATGTCTCTAATCTGCCCAGGCCATATTCATGCACTCCATTCATCTGTGTGGCAAAAACAAACATTAAAAAAAGTTTTCATGCTGAAGCAGTAAAAACAGCCGCAGAGAAAAACCTACAATAAAAGAGAATAAAACAACACAAGTAAAAGAAAAAAAAAAAAAAAGTTACAACTGCAGAATGTCAAGTCAACACTTTCTTCTTTCTCAGTTTTCCTTCTTTTTTACTATGATCAATATCATCATAACAACATGCCATAAATCAGCGGCAGTCACCTCTGAGGACAGACGTGCTGTATATGTCTGGAAATAACAGTCTGTGAAAAACCATCAGTGAGAAAAACGGAACTCACACCCGGCCAGGAAATAAGAC